AAAAAAAGCTTTATGCTACTGATCTCACGTGACGTCGTCCCACAGCTGATCACATCAGAACACACCAGATGTGAGCACATTTCACAGCTCCTTGCAGGCTCTGCGTTCAGATTAATATTGAGATTTCATAATCTTGCACAATATGTACAACAGTTGGGCGGGCAAAAGGCAAGACGTCGCTGAAGCTTTTACTTTGAGCCATTAGCAGGAAGTGTTTATCGTGGTTGGCCACTGAGCGCGGCCCGTTGAGGAACTGGACATTTTTCTGTGCTTCAAGTTTGTTTTTCAAAAGGAGGAGTTATATACAAATGTAGTCTGTCAAAAAAAGAGGTGAATCCGTAATTAAATGCCCCTATGTGTTAGAGGTAAGAGCAGGACTATACGAGTAACAGCAAAACAACAACCCATATGGTACTTTCCACAGGAGATGTTGTAAACGATGCTGGTTTCTCATTAATATACAACTACACTGACAAGCAGAAGCACACAGAGTTTGAGTAATAGGTGTGTTTGCACTGTGCTTTTGCAGGCAATCCATATGGAGATGTTTTATGCTCACAGCATGAGCTTGGCTACCTTGCAGTGTAGCGGTTTAAGAGATTCAAATCCAATCCAAAAAAGAAAAAATGATTGTATTATTACATTATTTACATTACATTATTACAGGACGCACTGAAATGACCGTGGTGAAATGGCCGCCTCGGACAGCGTTTGGTGCACAAGGTAACATTAGATCAAGATCATCATAAGCAAAGACTAAAGCTTGTTTTCGGAGTTGCAGAAAGACTGGACTTTCAAGGACAGACCCAGTTAATCACAAACACATTTTTTTTTAAAGCAGAGCCCAACTTGTGTGGAAGTTCTGAGACCAATAACGATTTCAATATCGCAACCGATGTAGCAAATGTATGAGCTGGAATTAAAAAAAAAAAAAAGACGTTTTCTATGTGGATTGTGCCCCAATTTGGCACCAAAATGACTTATTTAAATGTTCTCTAACATGTTAGAATAGTTTAACATATACATTGTCAACCAGCAGTCATTATATCGGCACATATCGGATGTACGTAGATTCTGATACACTACAATAGGCCAATAATACCGACCAACAAATATATCAGGCGTGCTGTTAAAAGATAACAACATTCAGGAAAAATTGCTTTATTTATCTTCCTTTTTCTTCCTCTCCTGTCAACCTTTTTTCCTTTAAAGTGACTTCTCTTGTTTTTCAAATAACCCCTGAGCTCCAAGGTCCCTTTCCTGCACCAACTTACATCCTGAGAGAAAAAACACACACAAAAAACAGGGAAAATGGAAAGTCTACTTGGCAGACACATCAGAGGATTTAATGTTGATGACTCTACATTTCTTTTCCCTTTTTTTTATTTTTTAGAAAGAGGGCACTTGGTTCACACACTCTTGAATGCTTTTTTTCTAACCGATTATCGGACTTGGCAAGATACTGATGCGAGTTTACAACTGTAACAACCGAAGGAGGACTCATTCACACATTTGGTGCTCTTTCTGAAATATCAAGGCACAACACCAGCAGATGAACGTGTCAACACTAAAAAGACCAATCACACGTAGCAGCAAAGCGGCTCTCCGTATGACCGACTACAGATTCATCCTCTTCATCAAGTTTACACATGAGCAACTCAAGGGTAAATACTACATTTGTTTTATAGCCCCAGTGCAATTTGAGCCTCTCACCGCATTAGTACACCCTATATTTCAACACCTCACACACACACACACACACTCGACAACCACTCAAGACTGTGAAGACACACTACATGCGTTCACAGCCCGGGAGGAGAATACTTAAACAAGCCTTAAGGACATACCCGTTCATGTTATAGTTTCTTCACAGCAACCCACAGCGAGTGTCTGAACACAATAGCTCCTACAGGGAAACACATTTCTTGTTCCTCTACCCAAACCTGTTCCTCCAGATCTGACTTCAGCAAACCGACCTCCCTTTCTTATTCTCACCACGCTGTGATCATATATCCCTCTTCTTGATCTTTTTCTCTTACCGCCTGTCCTAGGTGATTTTGGTTAAGTGTGAACTGTGAAATGTTTTTAAGCAGGCTGGTTGACTGGTAATGCCCCCCCACCACCACCAGCACCACCACCTCCCCTCCATCTGCACCAAAACAAACAACAAGAGGGCCAATGACATCATCCTGTACAGACAAAAACCTGAAGCTCATTTATATTCCTCTCAGAGACTTTATAGGGTGCAACAACAAAACCATGTGTCAGCGGTTTTCACAACAGCTGCCATTCATAAATGAGGACACAGCAGAAAAGGCGACAGAGGGTTAATCATTTCCGTTGTTAACATTGCATTTAAATATCTGTATCCACAAAACACCTGACCTTGGTTACCTGACAAACAGAGAGGGATACAGTTAAGTGCTGAGGCGCTGTTTAACGAGGGTCACTTGACAAACAGGTGACGTTAGGCTGAAGAGAAACGTGAACCAAATGCACTTTTAAAAAAAAAAAAAAAAAAAAGACGCTGTCACCCACACCCATGACACCAAAGTTGTGACTCCAAAGTCCCAAGAAATTAACACTTTAAAAACTTTAAGAGTTGGGGGGGGAAACCGAAAGGGAACAGTGTCGAGTAGTCTGACAAAAGGCAGATTAAAGTTGTCCTTACATTGTCCTAAAGGTTGCTGTTGGGCTTTGCAGTGTGGCAAACAAGGGGCAGGATCCTGGGGCAACTCGGCTAATGTGCTGCTAGCTCGCTAGTTCCGCTTTCCTGTCAACCGCCTAAACAGTCAAACAACTATGTCGAGAGGAAAGAAGGAGAGAGATGTTTATCCGGGGAGTCTTTACTTACGGTTAACCCTCCTTTTTTTTTTAAAATTACCTCGTTACTCCTCCTTCTTGACGGTATCTGAACTTGGCCAACTCCTGGATTCCTTCAGTGTTTCCTCCGTCTGGCTGTCCGAAGTGTGTCGGCTGCTGCGTTTAAGTGCTGTCGGAAATATCGCGATTCCAAAGCGGAGCCAGCATACAGTAGTTTTATAAACTCGGAAGAAGCAGTGAGACGCTTTATTTAAGTACCATGCTATAAAACAATTGAGAAATATTCAAATTACAGGTAAAAGTAGCTCTAAATATATTAGATTAGACATTAAATTACATTATTATTTATTGTATCTTTATTTAATCAGATACACTATTGTCTGCTGTTTACAAATGTTTTTTTTTGTTTGTTTATATATGTATAACTGTACATAGTAGTTTATGTCTCTTTTGTTTATCTTGTTGTCCTGTTTATTCATGCTTAGTCTATGTTTGTACATTGAGAGCAACGTAAAACCTTCCTGAAGTTCCTAGTATGTGTGCACATACCTTACCTCCATTGAGAACCAATTCTCATTAACAATGACGACCTGGCCAAGAGGCAGAGCAGGAGGCAAATGAGAGATATAGTACAATTTAAGCATCTTAGTATTGTAGCTGGTTGAACTGGAACATTTTTTTACTCCTTTTTTTAGGTAGTATCGTGTTTTATCAGCATGTAATGAGTTTGAATATGCACAATAAAATCAAAGATAGCTCAATAATCTCAAAAATAAGTAATAGGCTATTTGAGTAAATGTACTTGATTACTACATCACCAGAGATAAATAGAGCCAAGAGTGATTTTATTGCTCTGTGAGTAAACAATTAACATGGTAATATGTTTATATTTTCACTTTTTTTTAAATATATATAATTCACAATGAGTTTTGGCTTTTAGAGGGCTTTTAGTTTGGAAAATATTTAATTCGGGACAATGTGCCTCTTCTTAATTTCCCTGCAAATTATACCAACCTTTAATTACCTGGGTCGATTTTGTTTGAGCAGCTGTGTTTCAAACTGTAAGTCTCAGAGGAAAGAGCTTTCGACGAGCACGCGAACGCAGCACATGTTGGTGCGCATGTCCTGTCATATGACTCCAGAGAAAAAAGAGACGCTGCTCATTTCCCCCACATGAGTGCAGCATTTACCCTTCACCCAAGACCTCCCCCTCGCCCCCTCATACCCCCCACCCTCCTCGCTATTTTACATGAAGACAGACTGCTGGATATTTTTCATAGTGTTTCTGAGAGATGCTCTGAAATCCGAGCCTCTAGCATTGAATCTGCTGTGTAATTCCCCAAGTTTTATGGTTTAAACCACAAAAAGCCTGTTCAAGGTGACTGCAAAGACACTGGGCAGGGTGCCAGCAAACATATCAACTGACAGTGTCTAAAAGGCAAAGTGTTTTTTTTCTTTTTCTCCCCTCTCTAACTGCAGCTAAATATTTTCCCCTGTTGGGTCACCTACAAGCTGAACATTTTGTGACATCTCCAAATTTGCACAAGGGATGCTCCAGAGCTGCCCTCACCGAACTGCCCACGGAGCCTGGATGGTGCCCTGCTTCCCCCTTCCCCATGTATCTTTTATAGAGTCTACATAGTATACATTATTCAGCAATAACACACGGTCCATCTGGACCCCTGTACGCCTGTGTGTCTTTGCACGGGTGTGTGGTCTATAGTTAACTTTCCTGCTGTGCCATTTAACTATTTCACGCCACATCCAACAGTGCTTGAAGAGCTACGAATAAGTATTTCCTCTGTAATTACAGCTAAGGTATAATGAGTGTGTGTTTGAAAAAGGGATGTGTGTGTGAGAGAGACGGAAAGGGGAAGGGAAGGGGAAGGGGAGAAAGAATAGAAAGTAGTGAGAGAAAGAGAGATAGATTAAGTGAATGTGTAATAGTGACTACAGATGGCACGTTCAGGATCAAGCTCTTTCATCATGCCGTTCCTCATTAATAGAGATGGGAACGCTGCCCTAATTCCATAATTCCTAAATCATGCCAGTTAGTTGAATACGAGGAGACAAAAGTACACGGGAGAGAGGAGAATGGATTAGCCTATAACCTATTAATGTGTCTGCGAGAGCGAGAAATCAACAGAAGAGGACATAGCAAGAAAAAAGGAAAAGAATGGCGAGAGGTTGCCATCTGTATTTTCCTGGCCCCCCTTTTTGGTTGTTGCCAGACCCAACATCATATAGGCCAAATTTATTCTCGCCAATTATTGTCCCACATGAACGGCAGCCAATGAAAATATCTGAAATAATCAAGTGATTAATTAAATCTGGAAGAGAATACTTGGGGATATAATAGTGTGTGCATGTGCGAGTTAGTGACATAGCCCAGATCACCAGTTTCTCATGATTTCAAGGAGCACATCTGTTCGTTTCTGGCTCTGTTCCAGCTGTATCACACATCCATCTTTCCTCTCACAAGGATTGAGACATGGGAAGGTCTCGGGGCCTTGCGTGATCAGGCTTAATATTAAGTTAGGCTAATTCCGCTGGTACCTGATACTTGTCAGGACAAAAAATTGGCTGACCAAGCGTGCATCTCAATATTCAGAGATAATTTCATTCCCTCGTCTCCTTTTCACTGGAATCTACTCTTTCTCAGTTTGAATTGAGCTCTCATATGAAGCAATTTGATGGAAGCTAGAGACATCGATAGCCATTAGCCCGTTTCGCACAGGAGGGCCAAACATGGCAAGCCAAGGCTCATCTATTATTCATGTACCTCAGTTTTCCCCAAAAACAATGTTTCTGATATTCTTTTTGCATCATGCTGCCAAAAGAGACGAGTCAGTGGTTTCAAATAACGCTTTTAAAACAGGGCTGATAAATGTTTCAAGCTTGCACTGGCCCTTACAAGCCCCGATGGGGGGAAGTGTCTATTGTCTATCTGTCTCTTTATGTCTGGATCTGGAGGAAAACCTATTGAGCTCAAAGAGGAGAGGAAACATTTCATATTCTACTTTTTTAGACATTTAGCCTTTAGGCGTCACCAGCATTTATCATCCATGTCTTGTGCAAGGACACCTGACTTTTAATAGATATATTTTTTAATAATTATGGTGGGGATCAAACTTATGCCCTCACAAGTTAAATCTGTCTTGTTGTGAGATGATTAATGATGTAAGAAAGAGGAAAATCTCTGCAACACAAATTAGCATTTTTTAAATATATATATATATATTTTACTTTTCTGTAATCTTTTTTAATCAAATAATGGCTTATTTATTTTTTTTGGCCTCAAACAGTTATTTAAATAAAATGTGATAAGTTTTGACTTTATAATTTTTCTTTGGTGGAAATCCTAAAACAAGTTTCTGTCCAAATGTAGCAAGAATGTTTAACCTAATGCCCAGAAAATACGAATTCATTTGCATTTACATCCTACTTCTTTTATGTGAATATTAGAAGTTCTTTAAGTGCTTTAAGACCATTGGCAGAAGAAAAGGGTGCAATGAGTGTTGTAATGAAAAGAGCGCTACTATAAATATGGCTTTTATGTTAGTTTCATGTATTAATTAAAGAAACGTAGTCTGTTCCCATTGCATTTTCTTTTTATCTATACATCAACTGTTCCACATCAGTCAAGTGTAAAAATGTGTGACATCTGAAATGTGACAAGGGGCCCTACCACTGTTGTTGGGGATCACAATCCAAAAACATTGGAGCCCACTGGTTAATCTTGAACAGCGATTTTATAAGCCTATCATGTGTGTTTTTAAGTAAAATCTGAAAAAGTAACTAAATGTAGTGGAGCAGAAGTATAAAGTAGCAGACCATGGAAATACTCAAGTAAATTACAAGTACCTCAAAATTGTACTTAAATACAGGCCACCCTGTACTGAAATCTGATGAAAACAAGAGAGGAAAGGCTATCAAGCTATTCAGCCTCCATGTTGTCAGCAGTTCAGATTAGCTGTCACATCGCTGAGGGAGAAACAGCTGAAGATTGGAGAGGGTGATTTCATCTGAATAATTTCATGCTTTGACTGGCAGAGCTCAATGCTCACCGTCCCAAGACTTTGACGTCAGAGGAAGATAGACTGGGCAAAATAAAGACCCAGGTGCAGTCTAATATATGAATACAATCATCTGTCCCTTTTGTGGGAGAAAAATGAAAATTAATTCACATTTGCACTGAAGAAATTCCACTCACTTGGCCGTGTTGTTCGAGTAGACAAAAAGACAATCTTTATTTGTGTGTTTCTCTCCTTGCTCTGACTTCTGTGTTTACTTTTGACTGACTGACTTTAATGACTGAGGTCAGCTTCCACAAAAACACCACAAACAGAAAAGGAGACAAACTCATACATGACGCTCAGACCTGGAGGCATCCTACCACTACCAACCATGGATCACAAACCAGAGAAGAAGAACGATAGAAGGACAGCATCAGTGGAATAGAAGAAGAGAAAACACATTTTTTTTTAATCTTCCACAGGCTATACCCCATCACTGCATCCCACACAGGAGTAATTAACAGTGATTTTAAATGCTACAAAAATAAGATGAAATAGGGAAGGAAGTGCTTCCCTTTGTTTGTGTTTTTGTTTGTGTGTGTGTGTCTTTGTACATGTGTGCATGTGCATGCTATGTCTTTGTCAATGTCTAGATCTGCATGTGCTTTTCTACATACTGTATGTCTGTACTGTACTGTTTGTGTGTGTGTATCTGTACATGGGTCGTCATGTGTGTATGCATGTGTGTGTTCACAGTGCTTACTCATTATGTTCACTTCCCAACATTAAAGAAGTCTCAGTCCCATGATGCACACACACTTTTCTCCCCCTCCCTCCTCTGCTCCCTCTGTCTTTGTGCTGTTCCCTTTATAGTCATGTCCACATGAATGCTCAGAGGAACAGAACCGTTATCAAAGACTGTGTGTGTGTGTG